GATAGAACTGGTTTTGATGTTAAAAAAAAAAAAAAATATCATTCAGAGAGCAGTACATCCCCTACTGTGTGTCTGCGTACTGAGACAAGCAATGTTTGAGACCAGGCTGTTGCCTGCCCTAGAGAGCACATCTGGATCTAGAGATGTAAGGCTTCAGCACAGGTCACTGCGTACTTTACACAGGGGTGCTCAACCCATGTAGTAACCATTAACTGCTTTAGCTCACAACTACCCAGCCACACCCCTCCTTCATCTCTGAATTAGGACAACACCTGCCATTCTATCAAACAACTCGACTTCCCCAACTCTACCACCCATCTCTCCCTGGCTGCACTAACAAAGAGCCAGTTTATTGCTTACCCTGCAGTGTCCTTCCTACCTTGTTCATGTGGTCACCATTTAAGGCTGGGACAGCAATTAAAGCCTATGACAAATGCTCTATTAACCCCTTCATTTCCCAGAAGGGGAAGGAGAGGAGAAAAGGAGGAGAGACTTATCAGTTGGAAAAATCAGCTTTAATAAAACAGTAATAATGAAAAGAGTATAATGTTAATACTACTACTAATAGAAATAAAAATATACAAAGCCAGTATTGAGCTTCCCAGTGACGATCACGGGATTGAGTGCTGCGGTGGCTCACACTGCTGATGCAGTAGGGTGGGCACCAGGATGCCCTGGACTGGACATAACAACAGATGGGAATTGGATTCAGAAATACACAGTTTGGGATTGGAGGCAGGAGAGAAGCAGAGTCCCACCATGATGCTGGCCATGAAAGAAAGAGGGCTGACCCCTGGAATCCCTTAGCTTTATACTCAGTATCATGTGTATGGGGTGGAATACTTCATTGGTCAGTGTTTTGGTCACCTGTCCCATGTGCAGCTTCCTGCAGGTACAACCCTTTTTTGCCTCCCCACATGCAGACCACAAGAGAACCTTCAGTAACTCTGCCTCCCCCATAGGAACAAGCACAGACATGGGCCCTTCTGCCTAACAAAACCACCACGACCCCAGCAACAACTGCAAACATCAAGCATCATCAATCCTAAAAGCAGACACTGTTTGAAAAACATGTAGTCAGCTTCGGAAAGTGTAGTTACTTAGAAGGAACTTAATTGAAAGAAAACCTACTGAGAAGAAAATTGGTCCTGTCTTAGCTAAACCAGGACACAACACCCCCAGAAACATCTGAAGATGCTGCTGCCGTGTCCCTTTCCCAGCCTCAGTAGCTTCCCCTCTTGTGAGCCTCAGCTTTTCTTGTTCATTTCTCTTCATCTTACTCATTTCTCACAGCACCAGTACCTTCTCTTGCTTGAGGTAAATGTCAATTCCCAAGGCAGTTGACAGCTTCTCCTAACTTTTACAATTAGAACCAACATTTTTATTTTGCTTCTTTTTGTTTGTATTTTTGGGGGGGAGGTGGTACGGGAAGGTTTCAAGAACAGACTCTTATTGCACAACCCCTACATTTCTTTCTCCAAACACACTAATAATCATGCAACTAGTAAGTTCCAATCAGCACCAATAATACTTAAAGAAATCAGAAGCTGGATTCAGCCTTTACGTTTAAATAAGCATTTATTTCCAGGACATCGTAGAGATCAGATGTCCTCTACCTCCCAGGTACTGAGAGGTAGCAAGAAGCAAAACAGACTGTGGTCTTTTTCATAGCCTGTATTTCACTTAATCCGAAATTCAAAGACACCTTGTACTTTAAAAACAAATCCCAGTAGAAGTCATCCAACTGGAAACAATCATGTATGTTTATTTTGTCACCAGTTCAACCCCATATGGTTTTCCCATCTCTAAAATTCTGCTGTGTCCTGCCAAAAATCACTTGCAAGTATCTTGTGACAGTAACGGGAACATAAGCGCTGATAACAGTGAAACACCAGGACAGCTTTGCTGAGGTTGGAATGCACTGCAAACACCCTGCTTGTCCTAGAAGTCAGATTCTTGTACTGCCCCCATGCACCCCATGCTAGAATTCTCTATCAAATCTGACCAAGTAAATACTCTCAGTCATGCCTCATGCTTCAGCCAGCATTAGCAACTTTTCCCCCAATAATTTAGTCAAAAAAACTTTACTTTAAAATATAGACCTTTTTTCCTACAGGACATAAGTAGACTTTTTGTCAAAACCATTAAAAATTTGGGTTTCTCATCAGAGGGGAGAAAATGAGGAGAGTAGCACGTGTTTCAACAAGAACAAACGTTCCGAGTCCAAAAGCAGCAGACCTTGGTACAACCTGTCACAATTGAGAGCAAGGAATCCTACTCATTCTGCTCCAATTTACCTTAACATGTTTCAGAAAGAGAAGCTAGATTAACACAGTTTAACTTGTTATGAGATCGCATCAATTTATACTGAAACAAATGCTTTGAATACATACTAAATCTGCAGACTCATTGAACTTCCTTAGGGAAGTCTGCTCCTTCATCCTCATCATTCCTAAAACAAAAAGATCCAAGGATCTGCATACTTCTAGGTTCTCAACACAACTCTTCAATAGTTGTACAATACAGCTTTGCTTGCTCAAATTTACAGTTTGTACCAGTTATAGTAGAGGTTCATCCATATAGTTGTGTAAGACTGTTTTCAGACTCTTTAGATACCTCTGGACAATGAAGCAAGGCAAAGAACGCCTCCATCAGATGACTGTAGACAGCAGCTGGATACAAAACACAATCAGAAAAATTTAAGACAACGCTGGTGCTCTTAGAACAGCCACAAAGTGCTCCTCTATGGCCAAAATATTGGAACAGTGCTAGAACTCAATCACACTATCACTCGTCCATCACCTTAATTATGGAGGAGGTACATGGGAGGAAAACAAACGCTGGGATTAGTGAAGGCAGGCCAAGCCCAAAGGTAAAGGACCAAATTATAGTACTAGCAGATTCATACGATGGTGCTGGTGGGGAATGATAAAAAAGTCAACTCTAGATTTCAAAGTAACAAAGATATACTTTTGTAGTAGTCTTTTCTCCCTCAGGAAAGGAAGAATTTAACTTGTATCATCATTTTCCTCTTACACCAGGCTCCTCTAATTTCTCCTACTTGGTAACTTCTCATAACTTTCCATTTTATTAATTTTGTTTGCTAATATTTTTCCCAACTCAATATACTCATTGTGTAGTATACACTCCAGAGTAATTTTTTCCAGTCTTTTAACTACAGCAACTTACCTATTAAGCATTTTAAATTTCAAATCAGCATTTTGAAGTTAGAGTTTTATTTTGTACTTCTCCTAGAACTGCTGTGATCAACTTACCTGACAGTAACTGGAATTTTACAGATAATGTTAGGGCTACCAGAATTATGCTTTCCTTCAACCACACAGCCTCAATTTGTGCATCTTGCCAAGTCCGTATATTTTTTCCTGAATGACTTGCTAGGGTTTTACTTTTTTTTTTTTGAGGACTAAAGGATTTTCATCTTAAAAGAAGTGCTATTTCATATTTGTTTACTTAACATTATATTCTTCCTTCACATAACTATAAATGCTAAGAATGCAAGAACACCTAAGTGATAGATATTGCCATATCAAATTCCCTTCAAAAATTTACCAGGGAGAAAACGATGGAATCTTTCTCTGAAACAAACCAACCACCCCACAAATTGCCCCAAGCTCCACTGCTTTAGCAAAGCACATTCATATTGTCAGTGTTATGTTTCCCTCTACTGTTCATCATAAGAAGTGCAGTTATCTTCCTTAAAAAAACCCGAACATACAAATCAATCTTTAGTTGCAGGTAAAATGTAGCAAATAAGCTTAATGGAAATTTCATTTTGTTCATGAAAAATTAGAGGCGCTGAGCAGAACTATCCCCATGTATCTTAAGCTCAGTATTACACAAAGTATCAACTACAACATGCTAATTGTCTCATGTTGTAGTTTACAGTCTATGAAAAGAGTCAATTTCAAGTAAGCAAAAAGCTTCAAAGACCAAAGAAATGTAAGGAAGGGTAAAAAAACATCAAGAACCAAAGAATTATCATGGAAATAACTAGTCATATATGTGTCACAAAAACAGAGTTATGTATTTCACATCATTGATTTAAAGAAATTAATTTCACAGACACATTAAAACCGTCAAAACAGTAGTGGTCTTTATTTGCATCAGACAAATTAACAGTTCAGTTAATATTAATTTCAACATTTGGGAGATATGGAAATTAATGACTATTAAAAAAGTGAAATAAACCCCCTTCCAAAAATATACTAGATAATAGATGTGTCTGAATTTTATACTGTCCCTCCGATGAGTCTTTTACATTATGTGACATCATATACAGTTTTGCAAGACATAATAATTTATGGACTGCTTTTCAGCCTCTGATTTGCGAGTCCTCACGGTGTCTAAGAAAAGCAAGTTTATACATGCTACACAGCAACCTAAGTACATAGATTTCAAAGGGGTGTCAATTCAACTGGAAAAAAAAAAATCTAGAGAAGTTCACAAATCAAAGAGGTAGAAAATACTGTATTGGAATAAACACTCAAATCTTAGTGTCATGGAGGGAAACTTAACATTAGCTTAAAACCAGAAAATACATTAGTCAGTATTTTTCTCATTTTAGAATAATTAGGGCTTTGAATAACACAGTTATCAGTTGTTTTTGATTAAGATCAAGTTAAAAATTGCAGACTACAGAAAAGTCTTCAAATAAATGAAAACAATCTCCTCCTTTTGTCATCTAACACCAAGTATGTACCATATAAATAACATCTGTGCTACAGAACTCTTCATATAGATCAGAGATTTTTCAACAGAAACAGGATTTCATTTTAGTGTCAAGTCAGTAATTAAAATTTTAGTTCTCATCTTGTTTAAAATTTTTAATACAGAGGTGAATTAGTCCTGCAAAACCAATTAGCAGTCTGTTCCTATTGCAAGTCATGACTACTGAAAAATTACAATCTTAAGCCCCCTGCCCATACCAAGTTTTCTCGCAGTCTTGCCAAGAAACCCATGTAGTCACAGAAAGCTTGTAAATTTATTTTTTGGGGGGGATGTGAAATAAAGAGTGTCTCACCTAATGAGGAAAGAAGAAGGAAAAAAAAAAGCAATGACTAGTTTTCACAGTAAAATGCATCAGCTTTGTAGTTTCATTTGAAACCAAGAACAAATCATGAAACGTCATGAAAATAGGATAAAAAAAATCTCCTAGAGTGATTACTAAATGAAGTTAAAATTACCACACTAATCAGTAAACCCCAGAAGAAAAGCAGATGCCTCATATCACAGGTCCTATATTAAACAGTATCCACTTTTTAAAATAAATCCATAAAATCTGTATGTTTGGCCACTTTGCACATTTTTCCCTTAAAAAATACAGTGTACAGAAAAAAAAAAAATCTCGTTATTCCCAGTATGAATTCTGAAGTATAAGCTCAAAACCCAGAAGTTAAAGATCAGCTAAAAGGATTTTAAATTATTTACAAATCCAGCAGGTAGAACTACCATAATGGCTTCGTTTCCATCCTTGTAGTGGCTTTCACTCATCCAGCAGCATCTGCAGTAGGAATCTCTTCAGACAGCTTCATCACTGATCATCTGTCATTTTAAGCAATTCTAGAAGAGCCCCAACAGCTCCAAAATAACCCTTCAGAGAAGGCAAAACAAAACCAATCAAATTCCAAAATTAGACATAAGCATGAGCATGTAAAGTCTTCAGTTCTGTTAAGGCAATTAAAAGATCTTTCTTATAAGATCAGTCCTGCTGTGCCAAGTATTTGCTGTCTCTGAATTATGATTTAATATGAACTTGTTTAGGTCCAAGAAAGGGCCTTACACTGCGAGAAATCTTAGACAGTTCTCCAAAATTGTCAAAAAAGAAGAAATTACAGAACCACTATAATGATGCCGTATTGAGGCAAGGCAGTTTCCATTATGAACACATCCATCTGACAGGCACCTCAAAATTTTGCTTACAAAAATTAATTCTACCTGTGGTTTATATACGAGACCACACAAATGAACACTGTTGGTACTAGGTTCAGAAAGCAAAAACAGAGATGTGCAATGTTTAGCAACAAATACCATGAGATTAGTGATCAAGTCAGGAGGTTAACAAGGGGTATTTTCAAATGAATTTGTAATTAAATTATATTTATGTAGAACTTAGTTTGTGCATTCACTTCAAAGCAATGGCATTGAAATTCTCCCTTTTAACTTCACCAAGTCAAGAATAAGATTTTTGTACCTACAAATAAAAGTAAGTTCAACGTCTATTTCCTTACCTCATGTTCCAAAAACAGAGCTTTCAGCTGTCCCTTGGACCAATAATCCATAGCATATGCTAGCACCTTCATAGATATCATATTAATTCTGAGAAAGTTGCCAACAAATATCACCTTGTCAATGTTCTGTAAAATTGAAAAGCAGATCACGAAAAAATTATATTCAGCCACATTATTTGCCTCATTCAACATGTACTTCTGCCTCCACTATAAAGTTAAATGGGAATTTTGTGTTACATTTAAATTCTCCAGACTGAAAAGTGAAAAAAAAAATAAAATAATTGCAGTTACGGACTGCTAAGCAGAGATGTTACAAAAAAAAAAGTTTTATTCCAAAGAGAGTGCAAGGCTGATATCACAGATGGTGAGTATTTGCTTAAAAGTCCAGGACCTTCCCAACTTGAACAGGTTTATGAGTGTTTTGTTGAGTTTTGTGTTGTTGTTGTTGTTTTTGGTTTTTTTACCTCTATATGACATGACTACACTGAAGACATCTTTTCTCCCTGCTCGTTAAATGAAGCAACTTTCCAGAGATCACTATGATTATTAAATCCAGACAGAGAATGTCTGAAGGGTATCCAAAAAGGATTATATTAGAGATCGAAAGAAGCATCTTTCATTATCTTTTATCCAGACTGTGGTTCCATTTTCAAAAAGCAAGCAAAACGTGGCTGACACGATACTTGACATGTATTGCATTCCTTCGTTTCAAAGCTCACTTGAACTCAGTTTTCATACAGAAGCTTAAGATTTTTGAACAATCTGCACTACACTATCAGTGAGAAAGCTATCCTTACTTGCACGCACATCAGTGCATGTAAGCAACTGTTCTGGTGCTTAAACAATGCCCGTAACTATCCTACCAAGCCCATTTTTGCCTGTTACGCACAAAGATGCACTTGCATTTTGAACTGGTGTACCATACGATGTTCACAGTACACTAGAACTGCTCTAGAAGATTCAGTAGAAGGCCAAATCCCAGAGATATAAGCTTCTGCAGGAGTCTTAAAGGAGCCCTAGAAATGCATCTTCAAGAATCCTCTGCTGAAAGTTACCAGCAAAAATCTGCATAGAGGCTAGAATTGCGAAGTGTTACCTCTCTACATTCATACAGCTCTATAACGCCCAACACTTGGTTCTGCAGCAATTACTTTGCTCAGACTGCAGTTCTGTCCTGTCCAGTACTGTTCATGTGACATACCACAGAGAACATCCTCACTTCAATACTCAGTACTGGAGAACGCTGATACCCACATGCAGTAATTCGTTTATCCAATCTCCGATGACTGAGTTACATGTCTGATTGTCCTCAAACCAAACACATCAACACAAACTTTATTTAAATAATTCAAGTTTATAGTCATCAATCCCCTTAGACTCTGTAGTCACATCAGCATGTATTCATACTCATTCCTAGGAACTTATCTGGCTAAAAATAAGAACTTCTCAAATTTCAAAAGGCTGCTATTAAACATGGCCAAGAGCACTTTGCATTCCCTGACAAGGCAATTTTGTCTCTGAAGTCATTTCGGACAAAGGAGGGACAAACATGTAACTGATTTCCTGTAATGCAATGTCATCAAATTGATTAGAATCTACATTTGAATTTAATTTTCATGAAATTATTTTTTTGCTGAATATACACACGAAGCTACTGTTACCAGAAATTCAAGCAAGCAGTACCTAACACTGAGTATAAAAATTACTGAAAATTTTAAATATAAAAATACTAGTTATATCTACTAGACTAGCACAGCATATATCAAGATGCAAATTTCATATAATTTTTATTTTCCAACATTCCTTGACAAGGTTAAAAAATTATGTTAAAGATGTAACGTTTCCTAGAGTTTTGAACTGAAGTAAAAACAGCTTTAGCATTTTTCAGCAGCTGGAAAATGAAGAAATGCTACTTTTATCTCTTAAGAGAGTCTTGCCAATTTACTTTTAAATTGTTCACTGTTGAAATATTCAAAGCTGAAAGGCAGAAGTCAAACTGATGAAAGGATGGTGATGAAATGCTTAAGCTAAGCAAATTACAACATCCTGGAAGAGACATGCACTCTTTCACTTTGTGGGGTCTTGCTAAATTGTTCAACTACCCTGCAGTAGAAAGCTACAGTATAGGTTCAATATAGTATATATGCATATTTGCCATTATATTTGATTAGGGGAATCTCCATCAAAGACACAATAAAAAAAATGCATATATTTTTGCAAGAAGCCTCACTCAGATGTAACTTACATGTTCTGCTAGCAAAAAAGTATAAACCAGGGAGATTTGTTTCCTTTAGGCAGTTCTGCTGTGCCCAGGACAGACTGTTTCAAATGATGTGTAACCAAATGGTTCCAGACTATGGAATTTTTCTACCCCACTGCCAACTTTGTGCAAGCAAACTTTGCTTTGAAGTTCTGCAGACAGAGTATTTCATTTATTCCCCAGCCTCATTTTCTCCTGCACATATGCAAGTCATTTTCAACACAATATTAAAGCTGCAATTGTTGGGGGGGAAAAAAAAAAAACACACAACAAAAAAACAAAAAAACCCACACAAAACCACACCAAAAAAAAAAAACCCACCCAAAAAAACAAGAAAAAAACAAACCCACAAACCAAAACCAAAAAGCCACCTTATCAAAACTCTTGCTTCAGGGCACAAATTGATTTTGTCAAAGAACCTAAAAATGAGCTTCACCATAACCATAATCTAATACACACAAACTCCACAAAAGAATATATCATATTCAACCGTTTTCTAAGCTTTTATTTGGGCATTTCATTCATCAAGCTTCATGAAAGTCAGAGCTGTATCTCCCAAAGGTAATTTAGGTGTTTAGATTATTTAGCAGAACAAGAGCATTACTTTTTTTCCCCTGAGAGCAAGCTACCTGGAGATTAGCTTACTTGCAATCATGTTACGTTTTTTTTTTTTTTTTTTTAAATAGTATGTAAAGCTACTAAATGAAGTTTTCATTCTCTAAAGTTACAAAATAATTTAGTTCAAGCGTTGGAGAAATTCTACTTTGACATTGCCTGTGAAATGAAGAATATTTTACACATCAGTCCACATTCCTCCACAAAATTCTATGGATCGTGTCCAGTTTAAGTAAGCCTGCCCACAAAACAAAGATGTTAGGAACTTTTTCACAATGACTCAGAAGCATTAGTTTCATTAGTAGCCTATATCCTCCTCTGAATGCACTGCATGTAGTTCCCTGTTGCAACTCTCCATGCTTTGATAGCCCTGTACAATGCTGCTTGAACTCCATGCCACAAGGCAACACTGTAAAGAAGCTGAAAGCAAAGAGAACACTGAAAGAGAACCATCCTGACTGAAAGAGTCAAATTGAAAAAAAAAAAACAAAACCCACACACAAAAAAACAACCAAAACAAAACAATGTCTGCAGCCACTTTTCACAATGAAGGGAGGTTGTCAGTAGCACAGGATAGGGGCATACACTAAGACTTGTGCTGTTCAACATATTTTAAAAGTGCTCTAGAGAGGAATATTAGCAACAAACAACATTTATTGGCATACAAAGTTATTGAAGAAAATCAGAATAAAAACCGAACAGCATAACAATGCCAAAGAGACTTAAACCCAGTGACTGAGGAATAAAATGGCAGATTGAAATTACACAAATGGAAGGGGGAAGAGACAGAGGGACTCAATGATAGGCTTCAAATTCACCACCACCACTCAAGAAAGACTGTGGATGGTTTCTTTAAAATATGAGCGCCATGCTCACAAAAATAAAACATTAAGCACTGTTAGTAAAGGAACTCAGACCAAGAAATTTATCAATATGCCGTCACAAATTCATTGTGCAACCACACTCTGAATATTGTATGAAGATCTGATCATTTGATCTCAAAATTAGAGCCATAAAAAGATTAAAAGACAAAATAAAACAGTGGAACAGAGACACAGAGTGTCTTCCATAGGAGAGGAGGCTAAGCATTGGCACGTTCTGTATTGGAAAGACCAAGAAGGAGGTGTGGTAAAGGCTTATTAAAAACCAAAACCCACCAAAAGCACCAGTGATGGTTTACTATTTTTCATAAAGCAAAAAACCTAGATAGGACCCAATAAAGTTATCAGATGGCAGTTTGGCGAGTTTCTTGGGTTTGTTTCATTGGATTTTTTTGGGGGGCTGCATGGGTGTGTTGTTGATTAAAAAAATTAAAGAAGCACTTTCTTCTAACCACAGAATGCTGAGGAGCTAAAAACATCAATGTATTAAAAAAAGATTACATTCATTGAGAGCAGATAAAAGAGATTAGTTACCACATAACGGTAAAGGATGCATTTGGCAGCTCAAAACAAGTGCCTAAATGTTTGTGGTTTTGATTGTTTTGGTTTTTTAAACTGCTGGAAGCTGGAAAGGTACATGAATGGAACAATCCATCCATAGTTATCATGCCTAAAGGAAAGAATGTAACAAGCATCTGATAGGAGTTTGAGGCAGGACAATGAACTATACTTTTCTTCTCTCTGACTCAATACAATGGATCTTCTATCTATCAAAACATTTAACACAATACGCTATTTGAACCCATCATGCTATGGAAACAAGGCAAGCAAAATATTATTTTAAAAAATCTGTCATGGTATAGTAAGATCTGTTAACAACTACAAGGTAATAGAGAGTATTCATTTGGATTACAAAGGCATTAATATCTATGTATTACAGCTTGAGAGTGACTGAACATCTCTAGGTATCAATGAATCAAGGAGATCTTTACAGTCAACTTTTCTCCCTTCTTCCCTGTCTTTGAAGCTCAAAGTACCTTACACTTTGCTTCAAAGCACACACATAGCACAAATGTTAGGACACCACAAGGCCAGTTACACACCTACTATATCAGCAATTTGCATTTTTGTATTCTGATAATCTTACTATGTTGTTTCCAAAGGTTTTAAGCTCATAGTAAATATGCTATCTTACCTCATTCAATGCACACATGCGAGCAATAGAACCTATGTTGTTGGTGATGGTGACCAAAGTAGCTCTGGCCAAGTCCTCTTTACTGATGGAATCTCTCTTTTCTTTACTCATCATATGACCAAAGCTGTGTGAGGAAGATTATTCCTTTTAATATGAGTTATTTAGGAGTGCTAAAAGCCCTTAGAAATTTTATCATTTAATAAGATTTGCTTGGATTTGATATCCACCGATATGAGACAGATTTGAAATGTGAGAAGGGATCTCATTTGAAAGGCAGAACGATGAGCAAAGACATTTCTTCTAAAATAACTGTAATTTAAACGGAAGCAAACTACATCAAACATTGCTTATACCCGTTTAAGAAAAAAAAAAGAGCAAGAAGTAGGTGGGAGATCTAAGGACAAACCACATGATACATTCAGGGTGACACTTCCACACAGACACAGTGCATAGTCCAGGGATTACACACTCAGTTCAGCATGCACAGTAAGCTTCCCAAGGAACTCCTTAAAAACAGCTCAATTAACGCATACCTTGAGGCTACAGCAGATCCTTGAAGGCCAAACCGCTCATAGTCTCCTCCATAAATATCTTTCACCAGCTTATCCACATTGGTGCTGTCTCCTTTCGCAGCCATTTCTAGTGCTTCTTCAAACGTCTCACAGCCAGTCAGCAGACAGCACAGACCCAGGAATGTTCCTCCTCCAAGACTAGAAAAGCACAGCTCCTTCAGACCAGCAGCTTGAACCAGCTTTTACCACAGCTCTTCAGACTCCTGTTTGCAACACCGTCTATGCAGCTACCAACTGTATCTTGCAACTCCTCCCTCAGAGAAGTGAAGATGGACACCCTAAATAGAGTTTCTGCTTAACACAAATGTCAACCAGCATTGTTTTAACTGAACTACTCTTAAGTCCTTAATATTTAAATAGGAGAAATGATGCTAAATAAAGGGTTAGCTGAGAATAAGGTTCAATCTGACACCACAGATGTCAGTTTGCTATTTGTAACATTCTAGCAAGTTTTCTTTGTGCAAGAATAATTAGCCAGTAGATCACTTAAGTCAGTGATGAAAGAATAAACAGTGATCAAAGCTAAATATCTACGCAGGGGCAGGCAGCCAAGACAGATCTAGTTCCCCTAGCCAGTGGCAGGAAGCAGTCTGGTTGGTTCATGTTCAAAGCAAGGCTAGCATCAACCCTGAATATCTCAGCCCTCTGAAGAACTCTGAGCAAGGAGTACTCTCTTTAGTATCTTGCACGGGCTCACATACAGTATTTACTAACTATACAAATTTAGCAGGGAGTATTTGACTGTGCATAACAGGTTGCTAACTCATTTCATTAAAATTCTACTTTAGACTTTTCAGTCTTAACAGGCATGAACTTCAACTTACTAACCTCTACATCCTTCCTCATTCTTTTTAACCCTTGAGAAAGTTAGCTTATTTGCACTGATTGCAGTCACACTGACTGGAGCCACTGTAAACAAGAGGATCAGTAAGACATCACACTTGCACTTTGTGAAAAAGCACAGGAGGTCAGACAGAAACATCATTTAGTCAGTGCTCTTGGATTATAGGCAAGTAGGACTGTAATACATTCAGTATCTGAACAGCAGGAAGCTCTGCACACCAGCAACAAGACAGTATTGATTTCATTGTCTATAACAAGTCAGCAACCCACTGCAGTCATATTTTTCCTTTTGTAGTGGGAAGGATCAGCAGCACATCTACAGATATCAAAAGCGCTATGCTTAAAAAACAACCAGAATTGCAAAAAAACCCATACCTCTTCCATTCAAATTGTGTCCATCTGTATTATATACAGAAAAATGGTTCATGGCTACCACTGTGGCAAAGATATGCCCTAGATAAGGCAACAGAAGACACACATGCAGTCATGTGCAGTATACAGTAAAACTTTATTAATAATGTACCTTGCGCTGAAGAACACAATGCAGCTTTGGAAGGGACTATAGCAAATCCGAAAAGTTTCTTTAGTTGTTGTTTGGGAAGGGGATTTTTTCACGTTTCTGTTTTGGTGGTTGGTTTGGTTTTGTTTTAAGATTACAAGATTACCAAAAATGAAGTATATCAATTTAGTTTGAATGCATGAGAAAAAAGTGGATAAATTTATTGGTATTTTTACTACTAGCCTGGATGGACACATTTTTAACTGAAGTGGTTTCCTATAAGTAAGCACTGCTGCCACATCTATAGAGTGAACTTAAACATGCCTCAGACTGTTTTTTGGCCTTGAGAACAAAATTCTGCATCCTCACCATTGAACTCCTGAATTCCTAAACAGAGCAGTCACATCTAAATATTTCACTGAACAAAGGCTAGAGACCATTTCAACTCAGCTCTAATCTATAAATCGTTTCAGAGACCACTAGCTGACCCAGACTGAAATCACACTGAAGACAAAGTAAGAATAAAATCAGATTCTAGTCTTTATATGCTAGTATTCCTTAATTTACCAGCATGGTCCAAAGACTAGTGCAATCAGTAAGGAAACAAGAGACCTAGCGAGATTCCTCTGCCAAAATCCAGTAGCAGCAGGTAAGTCTACAAAGTTTTCCTATAACCTGGATACATCCTAACTACTAAGCAAGCGTTTTTTGTTTAGCCAAAACATTTTTATTTCACTGCTCTGGCTGTTCTGGGGAATCAAGATTCTGGGGAGAGAAGATTCATTTACTGGGAGAGTTTTATTTTGGCAATTCACAGAAAGAGATAGGAAGTAGGTAAGAACACCATGAAGAGACTAAGGCAGCTCTAAAGTTGAATGCATCAATTATTTCCCTGATGTAAACCCCCTCTCTGAAGGGATCCTAGGATACTTCTAGCCTTACTTGGTGGGCTTTTAAAAGAAATGGGAAGACAGGCACAATTTGGGGCTGCACCTATTAGTCACACTGTCTGGTTCTATCTGTTCAATTATTAAGGAGAAAAGAAAACAGAATTAAAAGAACAAAGAATTAAGTTTACCTGGATCCTGTGACTCTCTTATAGTTGTCCTTAGAATACACAGCTAGGATGCTGACCCCTGAGCCTATGTTAACCAGCAGGATAGGATATGGATTATCAAGGCAGTAAGGCTTCTTCTGGCACTGTTCAGGATCTGTAGGATTTTCAAAATAATAGCACTCTGGTTGGCCATTGAAACCAACAGAATCAACATAAAGGAGGCCCTGGATCAAACAGTCCAATTCATCCAGTTTATGGAGTTGCAGATCAGCAATCTGGAAAAGAACAACAAGAAATTAATAAACAAACATTTCCTAGTATAATACAACACTGAGAAGGACAAAAGGCTCTGCTGAAGCACTTTGATCACTTAAATAGTAACACATTATGCTATTTAAACAGTACAAAGATCTGTCTAAGTATGAAATCTGAAATAAAAAAAGTTTGCTATCTGCCTGACAACAGGTACCTCCCAAAACAACGATGTGCTATGCATTAATGTCATTTAGTTCCTTTGACTTTGAGATATTCCCTGCTCTATAAGCAGGAAAATATTTCCCCTCCTCAGTACTCTGAAGCAATAAATTTCTTTCCCCTCATCCTCATCCCAAGAGGAGATCTGTTCTGCAGCTTTTGGACAGTATCTGACACATGCCTGCACAGCAGCACTCCCCAGGACGCAAAGTGCTTTAACTCATCATCCAACTACATTTCCCAGCAATGTAATGAAATTTTCAATACAAGTGTTAACATCAAAAAACTTGAGTTAAAGAACAAGAGAGTTAAAGACTTACAAAGTGCACATGCTTATGTTAATAATCATTAAATATGCAGTGGATTGTGCTTAAAAGATTTGCCTTTTTTTTTAAAGTATATGTCACCAGTAATCTGAGAGAGCTATTTCTTTAAATTGTGATGAGCACTTTAAAATGTCTCATGAAAAATAGGACATTCCCAGTGTTTGGTGAAAAACAAGTTTAAAAAACCAACCAAACAAAAATATTGTCAGGCTCATGCCCCTAGCAAAATATTAATAAAAATATAACTGTAACAGAAGGCAGAAAAACAGTTATAAGAGCTTAAAAATAACACTCCCTCTGAGATGTCATAGGTCACCCATGACTGTACTTAAACCAGACATGTCTACTTGCCACAGCATTCTATTTGCTAGAATTAAAAATCACATCCCTTTCACGAGATGGTATACAGTGACA